TCCGAGAGAGAACAATTGTAGCGGGCCATGTGAAGATCAAAAGTCGAGAATATAGCACACCGTCGACTATCGTTTTCATGGTATTCGCCAGGGCGGGACCACATTTGCTGTAGGAAAGCACCAATGCCGTTGATACATGCGTCGTTGAGAGGTGACTGTGGTGTTTCAAGTCGAAGGAGGTCTGCTTCATCGAAGAAGAAGCGACCTTTAGTGTTGGGGACCTGGCGGCGGTTTCGGTGGGTGGGTATTGGGCGAAATGTTTGAAAACGAAGCGCGTCGAGGATTGTGGTGTCATATACAAGAGGTTCCTAATATGATGGGTTTATTCAGGTAAGAATGTTAAGAGTGAACAGGTCACACACCGGTAAGTTCCAAGTGACCTCAACAGCATTGTCAGGTAGATCGTCAGAAGTCTCTAATGATGAAACATTGAGCGCTTCGTCATCATCGTCTAGCTCCGCGTCAATCATGTCGGCAAACAAAACTTCCCCGGTGTCCCCGTGTATGTCGTTATGGGTGGCAAAATCGATTTCATGATAGGCCGGGTCAGCAAATGCATCTTCGCCAACCCTCTGTGTGAGAGGCGCAAGCCACGTCAAGGGAGCAACCAGTTGTGAGGGGGGGAGGTCATGGGAGAGGGCAAGACGTTGTTTCATTTCTGAAGCAGCGTGAAGATGGTGGTCGAATCGGACACTTGATGCAAGAGTACTGGTCCATCGGCTTTTGAGGGAGAGGAGATGGGCGCGATGGCTCTCAAGTAGAGCGCAGAGGCGTTGATCTGATGGAGGTCAGATTTCGGAGTGGACTGCTGTAGACCAACTCACTAGAAGGTGACGCAATAGCCGCCTCAATGGCTAAGAGCTCTCGGCCAAACCAGCGGCACAAGTTGTCCGCTTCCTGACCTAAACGACGCTGTTCCTCTAAGCAGTGGTCGAGCTTCAGCATTGCTCTGATGCCAGCCCGAACGTCGATATCTTCTAGCCAGCGGGGAACCTCCGGTGCGGTACGGGTGATCCAAACATCTTCCATAAGCGAAGGGCTGTTCCGCAGATCGTCAAGCTTGACTGGCAGAGCGTCAGGAAGGGGGAGTTCCCATTCAGGGCGATAGATGGCCGCTAGTTGTTCGCAATACCCATTGAATTTCTTGATGGCTTTGAGTAGGGCCGGTTTACGCTTAGCGATTGCGTCTCGGGTACTTTGATGTACCTTCGTACCTATCAAAAGATAACATGAAAATTTCAAACGAAAAACAAATTCGCGCGAACCTATTGCTTGTTGCCGACCACCAGCTGCTTGATCTAGTCGATCCCACTCAAAAAAGCTGCCGATCGCTCGCTTGCGGATGTTGATTTTGAGGTCGCGGGCGAGTACTAGTAGTCTTACAAATTCGAGATCAACGTCTTCTAGTTCAGGGAAGGATTCTGGAATATTGAGCGATGAGTAGAGATGTTCAACTTTTTCCTTGAGCCGTTCCTGAGTTCTGTTCAGACTTTCCAACGTGGACTTTGAAAATCGGTCCGCGAGACGAGATATCGCATCGTCAGTGGTGTCAATGGTTGATTGGAGCTTGAGAACACTGTCAAGTTCTTTTTTGAGGCGTGCAGGGGCATCTGTGTGTGAAGAATGAGGGACGGCGAAGAACAGAGTTATAATATCACTTACGAGCACGGATCGACAATTGAGCAGCCTGCTGAAGCTCCCACTGCGCTCGCAATTCATGTAGCGGAATGCCGTAATGGTTTAATTTCTTCTTGGCTTCAGCAACCTCGGATGCAATCGTCTTGAGCCGGCGCCGTATCCAATCCCCAAGATCGTCACGTAGTTCTGCGCCCACAGAGCCAGCTTGCCGGTCCAACAACCAAATTCTTCGGCGGCGCTGGAAACCCTGTCAGCATCTGGGAAAGATTTGGGATATATGCACCATACCGCTGATACGCGTGTAACACCAATCATCTTTCGTAAACGAGACCAGAAGCGCTCCACACCCTCCCCATCAGATAGACCTGGTCCTTCTCGGATGCNGGGGTTGTAGACGATCTGACAAGACCATTGATGCACGTATGCATGCATGGCGCTAGTGCCGAAGTCTAAGCGACTGGTGATACTCACCGGGAGAATGTTATACTTGAAATAAATTCAGAAATGTTAGTGGACATAACAAAGATAGCGTGCTTACCAGATTGAGACTGCGGTCTAGGACACAACCGACATCATAAAGGACAGTCACAGTGGCAGTAGGAGGGAGGTGGGTGTAAAGATGCTCAATGAGGGAAACTGCGTACTTTTGCTGCTCGCCGGGGGTGTCAATGTTGGCTAGGAAAAGGGGAATATCGTGGCGGCAGACAAGGGCCATCACTCCACCATCATCGTAATGATCCATGTTCGTCTTCACGGTAGACCCACTGCCGGAATCGTGCCCTTCTTCACAATCGTTCACCGCTTCATCCGGGACCTTCGCTGGCTTGCGGGCCTTGGGTGGCTTACCCCGTGCTGCGACAATACGACGACCCACACTGTCGACGTAATCCTTGCTGAGAAAATATTCAGGAGCGTAGAATTCAGGGCAATCTCCTGCGTCTTTCCTGTGGCGTTGGCTAAAATTCCCATCGGTGGCCACTATAATGTCAGCGCCTCTAAAAACATCTACTAATCAGCAGGGTTGCAAGATATAGCAAGGTGTTTACCTACAAATGTCCAGGTCTTCCGAATGCATCCAAGCCGAAGCAAGTGGGACATCGCCGTTGAAGAATCCGGGAACACTCCTTGAGGGGTGGAGTTGGGTCGCAACCAGGGTCGGACTCCTGAAATTGATTTGGATGTGAAGCGAGTTCCTCGTGAATGATGCTTGGCGTGAGATGTGTGTCCTCCGAGTGGCGGATAGCATCACCATGAAGGGGGGACTCGTGAGTCAGCAGATTTGAAAGCGGAGGTGTGAGAGGGATAGCATTCAAGTGGCGAACAGCAGCGTCTGCGGCGACAACGGCTGCTTCGAGTTGTTGGTCAAGACGCACTTGTAAAACGTCAAACCATTGGACTGCGTGCCCTATCCCTCGACGGAATGCATCCTGAACCACTTCGCCCTGTCGTGAAGCGTTCATAAGAAGATTCTGCCAAAATAATTGAATGGCAAACCTTCGAATTGCAGTGGATGAACCCGCGGCGTCCGTAGAAAGTGTTGAGTGCCTGTGCGAAGGCATTAATGGCATCGCATGAACGTTCGAAAAGGGCGTGATACAGTTGAAGGAGAAGAATGGAAACAGCCATTCGAGGCTGCGTCGGCGATGTGGGGAAAAGCCCGTAGGACACCAGGGTTTCAGGAAGATCATGGCATGCACAGCTGATAACGTCAAATGTGTCGAAGTCTGGCAAGAAAGTGTTAGACGCGATCTGCGGCGAAGGTGTGATACATACGGTCAAAAAACAAACAAAGAACTTTGCGGCTCTTGGTCGCACACAAGCCTGGCTGAAGACAACGCGAGGGGAGTCCACTCAGAGGGGCGTATTTCGTTGCCTTCGTTGTGGATAGGAAAAGAAGGAGGGGGTCGATAAGGTGGGGTATGAGGGCCTTCCACTGGTCGTAGAGCAGATTCGTCGCTGCGTCTGGACCGATACGACGGACTTTAGCGGAGAGGGGCGTACTTGGCATGGGTGGAAGGGATGCAGGCGCGTCAGTGGGGAAATCCTCTTCCATACAGTCGTTCGGTAGCGGTGACGAGTCATGAATCAGAAAACCTTCATCGAAAGGGCATGCTTCCTCGCCATTATCGTTAGGTTGGGCATTCTCATCTTCCCCCTCCACATCCACAACATCTTCCCCCCCAGCGTGTGCTTGTAGTTCGGCTAGTTTCTCCTTCAATCGGCGGACCTTATCTTCTAGTCCAAGACACGCAACGTAAGTCGAACTTTTGCGGCTATCTCGCTTCTTCTTGGGGCTGCGATAGGCTCGACCAAACCCCTTGGTGGCGGGCTGTTTAGCACGAGAGCGGCTGAGCATGGAGAGTTGAGGGGTAAAAGGAAGAGGGGGTGACCCCATCGCACGTGATATACGTGTACATATACTGAAATTTGTGTGAAGTCCCTAAGTGGAACGCTCAAGCGCTGAGTGCTGAAGGCGCGAGGTGCTGGGTGGTATGAGCGCTTTCGCGCCATGGATGGTAATCGGGGAAGGATCTCAATTGTACCCGAGCTATTTATATCCATCATCTATTCATCAGCGCCATCAGCTCTTAAGAAGACCCCCCTCTCAGGCCAATTACCACCAGACAATTAATTGGCCTTAGAGGGCCCAGATCACCTCAAAGCGCCAGGCCCGAGGTGACGAATCATAATGATATTGGATGGAGATTGCGTGGGTTGGACGGGTCACCCGGTTTGGCCAAACATTGAACTAAAACCACCACCTTGCTCACTCCGACACGACATGATTGCCACCTTGACAGACTACTTTAATTGTCTATAGGGACACAGGCGCATTTCTTGAGCTAATGGCGCCAAAACACAAATCAA